TTAGAAATGGCAGTATGGGGGCTATCTCAGGTCCACAGCTCCTTCCCACTGCTTCCTTTAAGAGGTAGCTGTCATCCTTTTCTTTCAGAAACCTCTCCAAGGTGTCAATTCTTCTTCCCTCCTCCCTACTGGGCCCATTGCCCTGAACCACTCTTTCCACATTCACTATGGCTTTGACAGCAGCAGGCTCCCCATTGTCTTCCCCACCCTGTGAAAGACTCTGTGTGGAATCTTTCATTTCCACACAGATGCTGGAATGCTGTGGTCCATGAATTAGGTCATGAAATGAACTTACTGTCATAACCAGCATGACAGAACAAAATAAAATAGAGTAGAAAAGAAGCAGCATGATACATTTTTTAAAATGAAGCTTTAGTTTCAGTTACAGTGGTCATATATGATATGACTTATGATATAAAATATATTTCTTATTGTGTTTCACCAGCAAGAGAGTCCTACAGCAAAAGAGTCCTTGAATCCTTTGCTACAAGGACTTTTTTTTTTCAGCTGCTGTCCACCTGAGTGCCTGTCCTGCAACATCTTGAATCTGGTCACTACCATCTCCTAAACTGGGAATTTCTATTGTCTGACTACTACCCTTCCTATCCTGTAACTTCTCCCATCTCCTTTTGATAGGGAGCAGTTAGACCTAAGTGATGGCCACAAGAGAAAAAAAATCATTATAATTAAACTTCTTAACTCCACAGGTGACCAGTTAAGATCAGAGTAGCCCATCAGTGACATCGGGGAACATCACAGGATACTTTGAAGTCAGCCACTCACCTAAAGGTTAATCCTTTCTTTACTCAAGAGTAAGCCACACTCTAAACATCAACTAAGTCTGGCACTGGGTTCACACTGGTAACTCTTTAACTTAACAAGACAAAGATGGAGGTCCAGGAGCTCATCTGAGGGGCTAAATGGACTTGGGGCTGAGAATTCCTCAATAAATATTCCACCTTCAGATGTTGATACTTGTTCTCAGTCTAGAGACACCCCCTGCCTTCAGTCTACTGAAAGTGTATTCCTGTCCTAATAAAGTTTACTTTCACTACATTTTCAAGTCCTGCCTGAATTCTCCTGCCAGGCTCAAGAACCAAGTATACACCAATGCTAAACTTTCCTGTAACACTTTCACTAAGCCTATTATTAAAAAAAAAAAAATTTGATACCTTTTTCTTGAATCCAAATTTTCTGTTCTACAATACTTGTGCTAGGACTGACTCAACTTTAACTTTTCAGATGGTCTCTTTGCTGCCTTCAGGAATCACTCTCTTCAAGTGCCAAGCTGACCTGGATATTCCTAAACTTCTAAGTGTGATAAACTCCTGAAGTTCTTACCTATACTCCCCAATTCACTCAACCTGACTTGGTTTGAAGCAAAGTGCCTCAAACCAAACTCTTTACTTCCTCATCTCTTCTGTGCTTCCAAATACAGACATCCTACAGATTCTTGTCCTAATTGTGACCTTACCCTAGGGAGCTTCATCCACAGCAATATCCCTGTGTACACCTCACAGCCCTCCTAGCGCTGACGGTTTAAAGGCAGAGAGCCAAGGACTGGCCAGCATGCTAAGAACAGTGTGACCAGATCCTGTCCTGGACAAAAAGCGGTGGGAGCTACACACGCAAGTTGAAGCGGAAACAAAACAAAACAAAAATGAAAATAAAAAGCCCCAGTCAACAGAAAGGAGAACCCAGGAGGGGCCACCATGCAGACTCAGAAAGAAACAAAGTGGCTGCTTCATCCTGGGCGCCAGTTCCCAGTTCCCAGTTCCCAGGAGGCCTGCTCACACAGAAGAACCTGTTCTTGACTGCCCTTGAGATCTATCCCTGCATTTGCCAGAGTGACTTTTAGTGGGGCTCTTTCCCCAAGCCTGCGTGATTCTGTGCCTTTCACATACAATATGCTTTATCAGGGATGCTCTGTCATTTTTTCTGTCTATGACAACAAGCTACTTATCCATCAGGAAAACAAGTGCTCTTTTGTGTGTCTCCAGCTCCCCAGGCCTTCCCTCCTCTGCATCCCTCCAGGGCCTTTCTCCTTCTTTATCTACATCTCTGTTGTGCAACTGTTTGTGTTTCTTCATCTGTCTGGACTGTCAGCTTCTTGAGGGGGTCATGCTACTCATGTTATTATCTCCCCAGTATGGGGTGAAGAGTGGATTCTGTTGGTTCTATACATACATCCTCTAATCTGGGCTGGCTCACCCACAGACAGTTCCATGTACTCCAGCAGACGTTTTGTGTCTATACTTGTGTGTTTCAGGCAGGCCAGAAGCAGCCAGGGTAACCCCAGGAGGGACCCTCAATCAAGAAAAGGGAGGTCAGTGTATAAATACCTGTTTCCTGTCCCACAGTGAATCCACTGAGATCTACACAAGGCCTTTCTGAGTCAGCCTCATGGCTTTCTTCCTTTCCCTGCTCATTGCCTCACTCTTTTACCATGCTTTCTAGAATTGCTTCCTAAAATAGACTACTTGCACTCCAATAAATACAGTTTCAGGAACTGCTTTTGGATGAACCTTGACCAAGCCAGGGAAGTAAAGCACAGAGTGCTGGACAGACAGTGAATAGGCCTTCAGCTGCTCACCCCACTGGTATAAATGTCAACACATGCCTCCTACCGTGTTTCTCTTTTGCTAGGGTCCCGTGGTCAAGATGTTGGGCTAGTGCTTGTCAGCACTCATGTCCGTGCTGACGAGCCCACCCTGTGTCCTCCAGGACTCATGTAGCCTTGGACTCTTCACTCATGCACCTGGGAAGCTGAGCATGACCCACTTGGGGTCATTTCACATTAATGGTTTTCAACCCTCAATGTGGTTTCAAAACATCTTTACTGCACTCAGCCCATCTCCTTCAGCAATGACTATGCCGAACCCACATTTTGCAGGACGCTCTGTTCTGTCTTCATTCTCCCCCTGCCCTCTCAGAGTCTGGAATAGAAGAGTGAAGCTATCAAGTTTTAGTACTGGCTAGAAGGGCCTGGATTTTCAGTAATGGAAAACAAACCACAAGGGGTCTTTCCTGTAGTCACCTAGAAGTAAGAGACAGGCTCCAGGCCAGCCAAGTACAGTGCTCAGGGCAGTAAAAAAAATTGTCCACCTATCAAAATGGCCAGAGGAACAAGGAAGGTATCATAGTGATAGTGCCACAAAAGGACAACACTTGGGTAAATATTATTAACTCCATTTTTACAAAGGAGGAAACTGAAGCACAGAAAAGCTAAGTACCAGGTTCAAGGTCACACAGCTGGTAAATGGCATAGCTAGGGTTTGGACTAAGCCAGTAGAAGCTCAGGAACTTAACTGCTATACATTTACTAATTTTCAAGCACAAAAAGTATTGCTAAGTGGTTGAAAAGTCATCCCAATACAACCTATCACCTCATTCCCAAGGTGGAATGCTTGTAACACATATCAGATCAATCAATAATTTATATCAAACAATTCTGATGAAAAATGCTATATATATATATAAAACCAACTGCATATAGTTATATATCCATTATTAATGGGTATGAAACTAAAATGAGTACGGATTTTTCTCTCAGTTGCTCTGTGGATGTCAGCCATGGCTGAAGGTGACTGATGTAGTATAGTGAACAAAGTAGTAAACTGAGGCACCCTCAAACATGTCCAACTACATGACAGCCAGACCTCTGCTCCTGCATCTGAAAAATATCTGGTAGGAGTAGACAATGTTTCAGATCCTTTCCAATGCTAACATTCTGTTTCTCCAACTTTGTACAGAGCAGAAAAACTTGATTTCAAACCTGTGTGGATTATACTTGAAGTTCCACTGGTGTGGATGACTGAAGTCAGAGAGGAGAGCCTATGTGAGGCTGGGACTCAGTCTCGGGCTTTTTAGTGTCTCGATACAGCCGTTTCTTATCTGAAGAATCCCTACAACGCCTATGTCACCTGGAGGGTATGCCAAGTAGCAGAGGTTCTAATCTCAGAGTACCCTTTTACTCATTAACCATTATCTGAGGCTAGGATTACCCCAGAGGATCACCAGTCCATGTGCTGGGCCGCCCAGTTCGAGCCCTTGATGCCGGCCACACCACTTGCTGATCAGGCAAAACTCAGAAGTTTTGTACGCCTAACACGTAGAGAAGAAAGAAAAAAATGCAGATATGGATCACAGCTCATTTTCCACCCTTTCTCCAAACTTATCCCTACAGGCAGAGAGGGGCTGGGGCCTCCAGGAGGCCTCTCCAGGCTTAACTGCCCTTGCTGCCTCTTTCCTCCGCAGACCAACAGCCTGCCTTCTGCTCACAGGCGTCCCTTCCTGATTGACAGCCCCTGCAGGACAGAAAGCTCTGGTCTCCTTACTGGTTCCTTTAGGAGTCTTGCTGTAGTAACAAAAGCTTGCTCAGGTGGTCCGTGAGTGCTTTTTTTTTTTTTTTCCGGGGGGACGGTGAAACAATCCTCAGTGGGTTCCAAGGCTGTTACAGATCCCGTTGTTCAGCTAAGAGAAAATGAGCGGAGCAACTTGTGCCAGCTGACAGCTCATCAGGGCCAGTGGGCTTGTCCCCAACCTCGCTGAAAGGCGTTAACAAAGCCACAGCATTCTTTCCCCAAAGGACGGCGCGGGGGCCTGCTTGGTGCGGTGCATACCTCGTGCTGTTGCTTTGGGAGGGCACGAAATGAGCCATCTTTGTGCCATCATTCAGCCAAACAACTCACGTAAAGTTTGCATTTTGAAACTTCCACCCTCCCATCCCAGGCTTGTCCCGAGTCCAGCAGCCTGGGATCCCAGGCCCCGCCCCTCACAGGCCCCGGGACAGAAGCCTGGAGGATGCGCCTCCCTGCCTGCCAGCCGGGTGCCACCGCCCCGCAGAGTGGGGGAGCTAGACTGCCCCATCCGCCTCGGGACTGCAATACGCGACCACCATACAAGTTCGGCCGCTTTCGCCCGCCCCCGACTTTGCTCTTCTTCCCCTGCCTGGACCCCTAGAGAATGCCGATCTGGTCCCCGGCCCTAGGGACACTCACTTTGCCACTCGAGGAGCTGCTCCGGGGTGATCGCAGCTGCCACGTCCTCGGCGAAGCGCCGCGGCGCCCCCAGCAGCAGCAGCAGGAGCAGCAGCATCGCTAACCACTGGGCTCACCGCGCGCTCACAGCGTGGCGCACGCACTGACCACTGCAGTGCCCGCATCCACCACCCGGGACTTCGACGCAGGAGGCGGGACAGCGGCCTCCCCCTCGCTCCACCCTTCTCGGGGACCTCGTCACCTCTGCACCCCCAGAGACCCACCCCACCTCTCCTTGACACCACACTGTGCAGGCACTTGGGGCTCTGGCTGGGAGACGAGAAAATCCTGGAGTTTTCCCCGCCCTACCCACTCTGGCTTGGGAAGGGAGGAGAAGAGGGAGTGGACCATCTGCCCATCCCAGAAATTCCTGCCTTTGGGGTGGAGAGAGAGGAGGGGCGAGGCTGCCCTCTGCAGGCTTCTCGCTCCTTCCGCTCGCATCCCTATTCAGTCCTTTTTGCCGGAGGCACAAGAGGACTGGGGAGTGAGCGCTTGTGGAATCTCCAGGACAGGAAGTCTGACATCTGGCTTTGCAAAGGTTTGGCAGCGGGCAGCTTCTCAGTGAACCCAGGCACTTCGGGAGTCTCTGATTCCTCTGGAACGTGGAGCGCTAGAGACCCCTGGGGCCCTGCCTTTGGTCTCCATCTTCCTCGCTCCTCAGTAACCAGAAAGTTCTTCCTGGATCCAGTTACTTTCCGTTATAAAATAACCTCCTGTTTCTATCTCCTTTGACCCCCTTGTCCAGCAAAATATTCCACTCTGCCTTGAAAGGCGAAGTGATATGCTCTAAGTTACTCCTTAACCTCACAAAACCTTACTAGAAGGTAGTTCTTCTAACGCCAGCCCTTCAAATAACCAGCACAAAGCTGGAAGTAATTAATACTCATGGGAACGGGTTAATATAAGAACTTTTCTAAAATAAGACCTTGACAATAGTCATTAAAACATAAGAAGGAAGAAAACAAAAGAGGAAAGAAGGAAGGAAGAATTTTGGAGGACCTGACTTTTTCAGCTACTTAATAGCCAACACCAAACCAACATTTGCAAGTAGCACTGCCCCATGCCTCAGGAAATGTGCCCCAGAGGAAATGCCCAACCAAGAGCAGGATTGAAGGTCAGGTTGAAATAGGGAAGAAGGTCCTGCAGGAACTTAGAGGACCTCGGAAAAAAGGGACAGCATTGTCCATTGACTCACCACCCCTGTTGGCTAAAGAGATTGTAAGGTTGTTAACTCCTCAGCTCAATTCTGTGGCAGTGAGGGGCTTGAGATGCCCTGGACCTGGAGGCAGAAGGTGTGCCCGCCGTATGGCAAAATGTGAAGCACTGTCAGGCTGCCCTTGGAGGATGGTTCAGGGGCAATGGGAACAGGGAAAACCTGCTGCACAGAAGGCTGTAAGTGGCTTGAGAAGATGTGAGAAGTTTGAATGTGTCCTCTCCTATGGCCTCAGAACTATATTGCGATGGGAATATCCCCGAAGTAGAAGGTTGAATTGATTACAGCAGGCAGGCGCAATCCACGTGGCATAATTAGGTAATAGAGTGTGGCTCTGATGCTAGTTTCTAGTGAGGGCAGTGTAGTGAGAGTAAAGCGGAGAAACGGGGAGGAGCTGGAGTGGGCACGGAAGACCAAATGCCGGCAGATAGAGTGCTGGGCATTGGAAAGAAAGGGTTGCCTGGGATAGGAAGAAGTTGTAAGAAAAGCCACAAAGGTTAAGTGAGATGCGTGTATATGAGGAGGCATGCCTGGCTGGAACAAAGGCTATCCTGGGTGCCTTGCGAAAGGAGACAAGTCACTGGGGCACTGGGCTCCCTGTCACTGGCTGGAGACAGGGTAAGTCACCTGCTGTAGACTTCAGTGTTATCTTCTGTGTAATGAGAGGGGGGAAAAAGCCGGTCCTGACCTGTGGCAGAAAATATTCTGAAGTAGCAGAGCTCTGACTAGGAGTAGGATAAGAAGGGGGAAGCAGGTCATATTTCATCTTCAGAGCAGTTACTGTAATAAGAGAAGGGAGAACAGCTTCCTAGCCTACTGACAACACATTTCCTATTCAATGTTGGAACACTCAGGAAAGAGCTCCTGGTTTTCATGTCTTCCTAGAGCCTGGCAGCTTTGAAGTGGAGATCTGTGGTAGACAGCTTTTTTTAGTCTTAGGGAAAATGATCATTACCCTGTTGAGGTGTTAGGTTATGTTTCCGGTTTATGAGGCAGTATAGTAGAATGACTAAAAGAAAACACTTGGCCACTCTGCCACTTGCCAGAATGGCCACTGCGTTCCCTTAGCCTTTGTGTAAAATGGAGAGAAGAATTTTTGCTAATTTTTTGGATACTATTCAGGTATGGTATTAAAGAGATAATGCCTGCAAAGTGTTTGGCACAGTCTGACCTAATGTGAATGTTCACTTTTGGGAATTTGTGGAGAGGAGTGGGGAAGCCTAGAGCTGGAGACCAAGCAGTGCTCAGAAGCAAGACTGAAGAGTGCTGTGCTGCTGCTAGGATGTCTCTGGCTTCCAGCCACAGCCTGTGGGTCTTTGTTCATCTTCCTGTTGACCTAGTTACCTTTGGATTAGGCCTAGCTGTTTATGCTACCCCTATTTTACTTCTGTCTGAATCTCCAGGGCAGCACACTTCTGGCACCTAGGGTGCTGCCATGAAGTCTATGCTACATGAGGGAAGAAAGAAGCGAGGAAGAAAAGAATAAGGAATGTTGTGTTTGGAGTCATTTGAAACTCAAGAAAAATATTAGAAAACTGAATTGTATTGAATGAAAACCAATAAGAAAATGCAGGGATTTAAAACTCAATGCATGGGTTGTGGTCAGGATCAAAATTAACATTTTTTTTGAGCACTGTAGCAATCAGGGTCTTAACATGAAGGGATGAGAGCCTGGTTTGTAGTGAATATTTAGCCAAGGGATTATCTGAGAAAGTAGGGGCAGAGTGGAGGGAGCCCAAACAGGACTGGGAAGCACCAAGTTTCTGGCAGGCACTGGATTCTGCGTCATTACACCTACACTGGAAAGAACAAGGGCAGGCAGAGGTTATGGGAGCTTAGTAAGAGCTGTGCCCTTGGGACAGGAGACAACTAACAGGACAGGAAAAGATCAACTAGTATCGACTGATGCCTGGTAGGGGGGAAGTTAACAGAAAAAATACCTCCTCTGTCTTCTGCACTCTGGTGGCTTTCCATTGGCCAAACCCAGTGGGAACTCAGTGGGCAAAAGGAAGTCCACAGAAGTCATCTTCCCAGAGCACAGAGTGGCAAGAACAACCTCAGGCAATGGGTCTGGAGAGGCAAATAAAGGAAATCCATCACAAGGTACCTGTTGTCAATTTTGTACTGGTACAGAGGTATCACAAAGAACAGGGCGAATGAGTCCTTGCACATGTTCTCAGACATTAGAGTCCAAACTCCATTATAATAGAGGATAATGTATGTCAGGGTGTGGGAATGAAGCTGACAATCTACAAGTACTTTGGAGGCCTTGAGGCTCAGAGGAGGCAACAAACAAAAAGTTGCCTCTGAACTGGCACCTTGAGTATTTAGCTGACATCAACAGATTGAGTTAAGCTGGAGGCATTGGCTCAAGCTATAGAGCACTTACCAAGCAAATAGCAAAAACCTGAATTCAAACCCAAGAAAAAGAAAAAAATTTGAGTTAAGAAAATGAAGAGAAAAGCCACTGACTGGGAAAAATATTTGCAAATCACAGATCTAATAAAAAATTTATATCTAGAATATATAAAGAACTGTCAAATTCAATACTAAGAAAATAATCCAAGTTTACAAACAAGCAAAAGATTTGAACAGGAATTTCACCAAAGAAGATTTATAGGTGGCAAATAAATACATGAAATGATTTTCATTGGTCATGGGGAAATGCAAGTTTAAATTACAAAGAAATATTACCATTTAACTATTTGAATGGCAAAAATTAAAAAGTTGACAGTACTAAGTGCTGGCAAGGATGCAAAGAAACGAGAACTCTTATGCACTGCTGTTGGGGATGTAAAATGGTGTGATCATGTTGGACAATAGTTTGCCAGTTTCTTAAAAAGTTAAAAAACATTATCAATACTTTTAAATATATTTGTTGGTATCACTAATTATCTGGGAACTGCAAATCAAAACCACAGTAAAGGCATGGTGAGGCCCTGGGTCCAATCTCAGGCACTGCAAAACAAAAACAAAATAAAAAATGCCCACAATAACCAATCATCTCATACCTGTTAGATGCTTATTATTAAAAACAAAGTAACAAGAAACAGCAAGGATTGGCAAGGATGTGAAGAAAAAGAAACCTTTGTCCACTGTGGGAATATAAATTATGCAAAACACTATGTAATATCCTCAAAAAACTAAAAATAAAACTTGACTTAAAAATAAAAATTGACTTATCAGTTTTTCTGAGTATATTCCCAAAGAAATGGAACCATCATCACCTCATGGAGCCAGGTGTGGTGTTGCACACTTGTAATCCCAGCACTTGAGACATGATGGCAGGAGAACCAAGGGTTCTAGGCCAGCCTGGGATATATAGCAAGACCCTATCTCAAAAGAAACAACACAAAATAAACAAAACTCAAACAAAACACATATGTTGTAGAGATATCCATGCTCCCGTGTTCATTGTAGTATTGTAGCATTTCTCACAATAGCTAAGGTATGGAAACAACCTTAGTATCCACTGATGAATAGACAGATCAAGAAATGCGAGGATTCCAAGATGGCGGCTAGAGGTAGGAAGCAGAAAGCGAGCCTCCTATAGTGAAATCTTGGAGAGACGCTGGAGACACACTTTGCAGGCATAATCACCGAGAAAAGGCATAACTTTGACTCCTCCACATCTCCAGCCGGCGCAGAGAATCTCCACTTCACGTTAAACGGAGAACCGAGGAGGCCCCCGGGCCGCCAGTGGCCGGCGCCCATACGGCTTGGGAAGACGCGGACCAGGTGAGCTTCGCGGTACCGCGGTTCCCCCACAGACAAGCCTGGGCCAGAGCAGCATAGCCCCCTGGACAGACTGACCTCCACCCGGGAAAAAAAGAGAAACTGAGTACTAAGCAATAAGAACAGTTAAGACACGCTGGAAAGAGGGTGGGGCGCCCTGAGCGCTGAAGATTGGGGGAAGGGAATCCTTCCCGGGACTGTAAATAAACGCCGGGCGGGCCG